GATGCTGTTGGCCCCTAAACACCTTGTAATACTGAACTTGTATTTCTTCAAAGCTGTTCTGTAAATAAGTTACAAAACACATTCAGCTCGTTGTTTCCCATTCACCATTTGTGTTTAAAGGAAATTAATCCTATTTTCAGTCTTGGTACTGGTATTGGTTGAGTATCGGGGGTCGGCAGATACTCAAAGCGAAAGTATCGACATTAGTATCGGAATATAAAATGCTGGATTGCTGGTAATTTACTGTTATAGCCATTTCTGCCCTAGGGTTTACTGACATAAACATGACTACTGCTCTGTGCCTATGGCTTGAACAAATTCCACCAAAAGCACATGTACTGTATTTTTCAGAGTATAAGTCGCACCAGCCAAAAAATACATAATGAAGAAGAAAAAACATATATAAGTCACACCAGACTATAAGTCACACCTTTTGGGGGGAAATGTATTTTATAAAATCAGAGACCAGGAACCGACATTTCATCTTGAAAGTCAAGTTCTAGTAATAACAATAAGACAGAGAACAACAGACTGTTAACATCACATATGAACAGTTCTTCAGAAAACTATAGCATAAACAACAGAACAGAACAAGTTTACCAAACTCTCCATCTCACTCCAAATCACTAAATCCGTTGAATTCTTCATCCTCTGTGTCACTTCTGAGCAACTCCACGACCTCTGGTGGTAAACGGAGCGCCGCTTCCTCTTCTGTGTAGCTGTTGTCAAACTCAGCAGTTAGAATTATTCTGGCCTTTCTGAATCCCAACAGGATGATTTCAATTGTCACTGAAGTTCAGGCTTTGTCGATTCATCCAGTGACTTCTAAGAAAGTTGCATGATGCACCCTCCCGGTTACCGTGGAGCTGTGTTCTCATTCCCGCTTTTTGCCAGTCCCTTTCAAGGTTCTCGCTCACTCCAAACTTTCTTTCTGCTGCTCAATTACCATTTTCAGCTGCAGATTTCACAACTTGCAGCAGAACGGCTCTTTCTGCAGGAGACATGAGCAGTAGGGTGTGAAGTGACAGTGGTACATGGTGGTACAGGTGTAACAGGAGCAGCAGATACTGACACACAAGCCTAGAGCTTGCGTGTCACAGCTGTCAGTGTGAAAAATTTAATATATAAGTCACACCTGAGTATAGGTCGCAGGAAACACCCAAACCATGAAGAAAAGGTGTGACTTAGGCTGAAAAAAAGGGTATACACTGATGTGTGAAGTGTCTTGCTTATGAGCACATGAGCAGTAGGCTTTGTATTTCTTCTTCACTATCCAATTTATCTGTGTTTGTCACGCTTTGATTTCTGTCTCATATCCATAGGTTTCAGAAAGTTGAAAAATTAGCACTGTTGCCATAGCAAATAACAATTAAAAATCCTATGATTTGAATGGTGAAAAGTCTTGGTTTCCTTTAACAGGAAGCTGAAACCTATGAATAATAAGAAGCTGTTCTTTAATTGGTTCAGTGTAATTCTACTCACCAAGAATTCCACTGAACCTTTTTCCAAAATGTGTTCCTCCAGTGAACACATTTTCAATCAGATGTGATCATTTATTTATGGAGCCTTCACACTTCAGCGCACCTCGTCAAAACTGAGACTAAACTGGGACTTATGTCAGAACTCAACATGGACTAGACCTGAACAAGACCAGGACTGAACCAAGACTAGAACAGGACTAAACCAAGTCATCACCAGGACTAAACTGAAACTTACATCAAAACTAAACTTGGACAACATTGGAACTAAACCAGGACTAGACCAGAACCAACCAAGGCTTCATCACGACTAAACTGGGAGTTACATCAAAACTAAACCTGGACTAAACCAGAACTAAGCCAAGACCAAACCAGGTCACCATAAGGACTAAACTGGGACTTATATCAGAACTAAACGTGGACCAAAACAGAACTAAACCGGGACTAGACAAGGACCAAACTATATCTTCATTGTTACTAAATTTGGACTTAACGTCAAAACTAAACCTGGACTACACTAGAACTAAACCAGGACTAGATCAGGAGCAAACCAAGGCTTCATCAGCATTAAACTGGAACTTCCATCAAAACTAAACCCAGACTAGACCAGGACTAGACCAGGATCATACCACGTCTTCATCAAGACTAAACTGGGACCTTTATCAAAACTAAACCTGGACTAGACCAGAACTAAACCAGGACTTGACCAGGACTAAACCACGGCTTCATCAGGACTTAACTGAGACTTACATCAGAATTAAACCAGGACTGGACCGGGACTAAACCAGGACTAGAACAGGACCAAACCACATTTTCATCAGGACAAAACTCAGATTTAATGTCAGAACTAAACCTGGACTAGATCAGAACTTAACCTGGACTAGAACAGGACAAAACCAGGCCTTCTTCAAGACTAAACTGGGTCTTATGTCAGAGTTAAACGTGGAACTATACTAGAACTAAACCAGGACTAGACCAAGACCAAACCAAGGCTTCATCATGTAACAATTCACCTGTTCTCGACAAACGAAAAGCTACAACGCAAAACTTAGGACGCGGGAGGATCCATTCATGTCAGCGGGGTGAAATAAAGACATGCAAAAAAATAAAGTGCTGTTGGCCTATCCGGCTTTTATTGTCATTGCCAGATACACGCGAGAACGGCCACATTAACTAATGAACACCAAACACCACCCCGCCCTCGAACGCACCCAGTTCCCAGAACCCAAACACAAACCCAAATCCCCAAATCACAGTGCAACAAAACAACAAAATCAGTCCGTTGTAAGTTCCCCACCTTCACCGCAACCGCCCCAACAATCTTTACTTGTCCACAAGAAAGTCTCCAAAGTCCCCCCCCCCCCCCCCCCCCCCCCCTCCTTCATTCAGACCTAAATTAGGACTTCCAAGATCCTCAAAAGTCCTAAAAACTGGACTAGACCAGAACTAAACCAAGGTTAGACCATGACTAAACCTGTGCTATACTAGAACTAAACCAGGGCTATACCAGGATTAAACCTGTACTAGACTAGAACTAAACCGGGACTAGAACAAGACAAAACCAAGTCTTCTTCAGGACTTAAATGAGTCTTACGCCAGAGGTAAACATGGACTATACTAGAACTAAACCAGGACTAGACCAAGATCAAACCAAGACTTCATCGGCATTAAACTGGGTCTTACATCAGAACTAAACCAGGACTTGACCAGGATTAAACCAGGACTAAACCAAAACTAAACCAGGACTAGAATAGGACCATACCACATCTTCATCAGGGCTGCACCTGCTCAAACCAGGGTCGAGCACCGTAAACATTCAGCGTGAGTTCTTGTGCTAACAGAGAAAATAAATATAGAATTTACATGAAACCATTAACTGCAGTCACAAAAATAACACTTGTATTCCTTTGACATTTGGAAAGCCACACTCCGCAAACATGCCTCATAAACTCTACCTTTGGGTTCACAGTTTTCTGTTTGTCTAATGTTCAAAACCGAAAAACAACAGTGAGTATAATATTGTAGTTCTTTGTAGTTCGGCATGAGGTTGGCTTTTCATTTTAATGATTTGTAATTTTTTTGGTGGTGATTTTGCTACCTGCCCGTCTCCATGGAGATGCCATTGCTTTGTCTAGAATGTTCCACAGTATGGCATTAAACACTGATTTATCAATTTCATTTCATTTATTCCAGTATTTTTAATGTGGCCTAGGGCAGATATATTTGCCACGTTTATATTAGAGCTTTAGTTCTGAATAAAAATGAATTCCACTTTAACAAGATCGTGTAAACACTTAATTCCTGATGAAAATGATTATTCTGAATTAAACTTAATTCTGAAGTAAGTGGGTGGTTTATTCTGATTTTAAAGCCGACTTAGTTTATTCCTCGATCATGTAAACGTTTATTCTTCTTAAAAATAATTCTGGTTGTTCAGTGCATGCTCGTTGGGTTGTCCTTCTGATGCGATCCAGAGGATGTAGCTCCACCAGTCCTGGTTTCGGACTTTCATCCACTGCTCTTTGGATTTGTGAGCGGGACGCGGGAGTGGGCTGAGGTAGAGCAGCCGATGATTCAGTTTGTCAGTTTTCTTAATCCCTTCTCCGACACTCTTCCCTTAAAAGTGTGATGAGAGAATTCTCCAGCTGCTGCTTCTTTACCATGGGAATGGCCGTGAAAAAAGTTTGGATCATGTTTGTGTCCATGGCGTAACGACAAACCGAGATGACAAAAAAGCCAGCAGCAGCTGAAGTGTGTGTTTTCTTCTGGTTGACGTAAATACATCAGAATTCATCCAATCAGAACTCTTCCCCACCCCCAGACGTTGAGCAGAATTTATTAAAGCTGATGTAACTTGTTTTCCATGTAAACTTCAATTCAGAATTATTACTTACATGTAAACTCGAGGGAGAATATTTTAATTTCGAACTATTTAATTCAGAACAATTAATTCGGAATTAAAAACACCATCAGTGTGGCCATTGTATAAGCAGCTGTTGAGGTCAAAATAAGTCTGCTGTGTAGCGTCTGCATTTAATTATAAAGTGTCCTTGAATGAAGTGCATGGTTAGGATGCTAGTTGTTGTTTGCAAACCCCTCTCCAGCCTCTAAAAGTTGTGAAAAGCACAATGAATACGTAAGATAAGTGATGAATAAGTTTGGATCACTGCAAACCTAGTTCTAACTGTTTTTCACTATTTAAGACAGTAAAAAATCAGGTTAAGCACCTTTAAAGCCACACTAAGGAACATTCCAGGAGTTACTTACAGCTGCACCTTTAAACTGAACAAAGCCAGTCCCAGAGTTACCTGAGGACATGTTTTCCCTGTAGGAGAACTGCTAGCATCAGTGCCATTTGAGGACAATACAAATTACATCCCTTTTTTTCCCTCACCATCCACCAGTGTCCAGCAGATTCGGCTTCCCCTCCCCACCTTAAGTCTTCTGCTTGTGTTTGTGTCGACAGGTGAACTGGGATTATTCGGACAAGAGGGACACGACTGAACAAATGGAGCAGGTCCGGGACAGAGGATGAGAGGAGGAGCAGAGGACAGCCACAGTTCAAAAATCGGAAAGACTTAAAAGTGAGAGTTTTGTCTGAGACTATGTGTCCATCTGGAGAAGCCATGTCATGCCACAAGGTCAAAAATTTAGTTTTAAAATTAGACTTGGAAATGAAATGATTTTGACAATTTTTCTGATTAAAAAAAGATCAGAGAATTGAACTAAATTATTCATATTTTCATACTGATGTATTAACTTTTATTCACTTCACTTCTCTTCTATTAAATGTACATTTATGGTACAGTCATTTACATAATAGTTTTTCTTTAAAAATTGTATTTAATTCAAATATTGAGGCAAAATTTTATTAATACCTACTGATAATTTGTAGCTGATGTCATCAACATTCCTTGGGGATGTGATGCTAACTGAAAGCACTACTCTGTTTGAAACTGCCGTTTTATAGCTCAAAAATACCTTAAAGAACATGAATTCTACCATGTTCAGGTTTACTTCTCCATTGATCCATAGGTCAGTATACTGATTCATCAGCTGGTTTCTCTTTGTGGAAACCGTCTGACCTCGCAGCATTAGGATTCATTTGCTCGATGGTAGGCAGGTACTTTTTTATTTAACCAATCGCTGCTATTTGGTCGTGATGTATGAAATGCGCAGCTAACAAGGCTAACCTGGTATATTAAGCTTTTCCCAAATCCTGTAGGAAGAAGGACAATAACGATCTTTCCCCTTGATAAAATTTACCAAACATTCTCTTTGTTTTCTGGCTTTAAATCTTCGATCTCTGGAATCGTTGACAACACGGAATGTCTGGTTTCATCTACATCCATCTTGACTGCTTCATTTACTGTTGTGTTGTACCACAAAATGGACCCAGACAGACGCTTGAGTTTGACATTGTGACTTCACAGCTCTTCACTGATTGGCCAGTGCGCGGTCTACAACATCAGGGGTTGTTGCAAAACGTCTAGTGTATTCTGATTCCTGACCTAGTCACTGGAGAGAAATGAAATTGAGAGTAGGCACTAGGTGGCGCCAGTCTGGCTAGTAGGTCAGGGCCGTAGATGTGAAAACCCTCATTTAGGACCTGAATGATTATGTTAATATGTCCTCTCAGTGAGGACAGATGAATAGGCCGAGCTAACAAACAGAACCTGTAAACAAGTAGGTGCGTTAGTTTCAGAGTAGTTTCAGTGTAGTTAGCTCCTCTCTGCAGACAGATATAAAGAACTGTCCTCCACCGTCTGACCAGAACTGAAGAAGCAGCTTGGATGAGCTGTAAAACTATTTAAGCCTAAATAAACGTTTGTCCAGTTGACAAATTGAATTTCTCCTTTGTCATGGATTCTATCTGGACGACTGAGGGATTCTACACACTTGTAGCTTGTAAGTCACTACATCATAATTCTATTTCTTGGCCCGACTGATATACATGTAAAAATGCTGCTGTGTTGTATACCTGCTGTTTGAACAGATCAAAAACCAATACTGATGGCGAGGAGTAACTGCCATTCTTTTGTTTTCCAGTTGATGGATATCTGCCGTAGCTATTCTTCCAAATCATCACATTACATGTTCTCCCATCGCTATTTATGTCCACAACAGAGAGAAATATCTCAACCCTAACCCTAATTCAGAAATTACTAGTTAACTTATCATTTCTGGCTAGGCTACCTAGCTGCTAACAATAACTCACTTCGACTTCATGAACTTTCTTCTTTGCTCAGGCACACCACACTGACAACTCGCTTTGAATTAACTGAGCTCAGACCTTTTCCTACAGCTACTGGAACTGACATATATGAGATATTTGTGTCCGAACATGACACAATTAAAAGACACTATTTTCATAGGCCTAATGACACGCATAGGATATTGTTTGTGTTCCTCTAATGGAAACAGAGACGCAAATACAAACTCGGGATATAGCGAAAATAATGGGAAGACTTTATTAACCTACTCACCTCTGTAAAGTGGTCAATTTAAAGTGCAGCGTCTTGTCCATATTAACCATAGAATTTGTCCTCCGCAAATAATGACTCCAGTCCACAAAACCGCTCTAATAATCCAGTTTGCAGCGTTATTTAAAAGTAAAAGGTGAGAGTAGTTCCCTACGTGTGTTTGTTTACATCCACACAGAGCACGGATCAAGGTGAAGCTGTAGATTAGCAATAGTGACTTTACTTCCTGTGTATTTTATCCCTACTCGTTTATGCTTTAAAAATTATGTATCTGAAGTATTTTGACTTGTACCTAAACCAGAAGTGCAGTGCTGATCTTTTGAACACTTTAGAGTCTCACAGCGAGTCGTTTTACTGTAGACAGGAAACAGCTGACGCAATGATGTGTCCGAGTTCGACCTGGCCCCAAACATAAGTTCTAAATGTTTGTCCGAAAATGTTCACTGGTTCTGTCATTTTGAACTAATATTTCGTTGGAACCGGGAGTCGTGTGTGACGTCAGACTTCCAAGCCGAATAGATCTGACAATGATCTCGTCTCCATTGCTATTACCAAGTTTATTTCTATACTGTGGAATAATCAAGGCAAAACGGTCATATCTTAAGCAAGACAACTATACCCTCCACCAGAAAAGCTACACAGTGCATTTTTAAAGCTGAATACTCCATACTGCTAATTGTTCATGAAACTGCACTGTCTAAAATCAACCTTTATAAAGACAAAGTAAACTTATCCAGCCCTATAATCGTATCAATCGTACAAGCAACAGTCGTTAATCTATTCTATTGCTTTGCCTAGAATGTTCCACAGTATGGCATTAAACATTGATTTGTATTTTTTTTTGTTCATGTATTTGAGCAAAACGTGTCTTGCCCCAGAACAAATATATAAAAAATAAGCCGGCTGTATACATCTGCATCTCATTATAAAGCATTCGAGAATCAGGAAGGACACAGTTAGCCTGCTAGTTGTTGCTTTTTGTATTATCATGACGGCAAACACTGCTTTGGTCTCTGAAAGTTGTGACTGACGAGAACTTCAACCTGGACTGACTCAAACAGACAAAGAGAAAGTATGATGACAACGAGATGATGAGGAGAGCGAAGGGGATGATGAGAGGATGATGAAGATGAAGTTGATGAAGTCTTCAGCAACAGTCTTTAATCTGTTGTTTCTTTGTTACAGAGAGAGACGTTATGATCACGCGCTGAGCTCTTCCTGCACTGGCACCATGGAGAAGACCTACTCTCTGACTGCGCACTATGACGAGTTCCAGGAGGTGAAGTACGGGGGGCGCTATAGCAGCGACATCCTGAGCAATGGCATGACCCTTCACCTCGGGGGCAGTCTGGACCGACACGTGGGGAGGGGCCGGGGCAGCACCTGGACCTCCAGCAAGCAGAGGTGGGTACTGTGTGGAGCTCAACGGTGACAGTGCTCCAGTTCTGGAAGTACATTTAGCATTCATTATTCCCTTAGACTTTTCAAAAAAATTCTAAATATTAAAAGTTCAAAGAAATGACGGAGGCTAAGCAGCTAAGTGCGAACTGATATCTATAACACGGTTGTTTTAAGTCCAAAAGCACACGTAAAACACAAGATTCTGCAAAATGTTTAATGATATATAGAATTATTTATCACATGAAAAAATCTACTCACTTTAATAGTTTAAAAGTTGATATACCTTTAATTTTTTTTTACTTTAAAAGTATGAAAGTACCTGTTTAAAAATGTACAAAGAGTACAAAGTAAAAGTATTTTGAGGTCTTGTAAGACTTATAAGGCAAATAGAGTGATTTAGGTAAAGATTTTTGCTGAACTTTGTTCAACAGAATTGATCGTTTTTTTCCTTTCTGTTTTTATTTGTATATTTGTGTTTGCTCAGACTATGAACGTCTTAAAAAATAAACCTTCAGCCTTTTCAGCAGATCTCAGACAGTAAGAAAAAATGTTTTTACTTTTCAGTCTTGTTCAAAAATGTAGTTGAAAGGGAAGTACATGCCTGCTCTCAAATGAAGTGAAGTAAAAGTTTAAAAGTAACCATTTTAAAATCTACTTATGTAAAGCATTGTTTCCAAAAGACTGGGAAACAATACTTTGGGTCGCAAGAGATTTTTTTTGGGTTGCCTTGTCTGCATGTAGGTCTGCAATATACATATACATATATCTCCACACACCCCTCCTCAGTTTATTTTTTTTCTTTGTGCACAGAATCTCGACACACCCCTCCCCACTCTTCACTTCTTCTCCGTGCACGGAATCTCCACGCAGCCCCTGCTCCTCACTTTTTCGGCAGCACCGCCTTACCTAACCAGTTTTCTGTGGGAAACTGATTACTGTTTTTCATTGTTTAAAACTTGAGTAATACTATTAGTTCAGAGAGACACAATCACTCAAGTCAACAATAAAATATCCTTATTAATGTTCAATAATGGACACACATTTTTATTTTGTGATTTACGAATAATGTCTATTGACTTGGTTCATGAAGGTTTGTGACTTTTAAAATATGGGTCCCCAGAAAAAAAGTTTGGGAAAAACTGATGTAAAGTATAGACACCTAAAAATGTTACGTTCCACTACTCTTCATGGGTCAAATGTTTGTTTAACTCTCCCCTCTTTTCTAACAGAAACCGTGACCTGAACAGCTCCAACGGCAGTGGTCTTCCGCGGTGGAGCCGGAGGGAGATCTGCCTGCTCTCAGCTTTAGTATTCGCGGCCGGTATGTGCGTGATCCTGGGGAGTATGCTGGCGCTAAAGTACATCTCACTGGACGCTCAGCAGGACCCTCAGTGCAGGCAGGACTGTCAGAAGAAGCGCTCTTTACTGCGGGCGGCGCGTTTCGTCCAGGCGAACATTGACCCCACCATACAGCCCTGTGAGGACTTCTACTCTTTCGCCTGTGGGGGCTGGCTGCGTCGTCACGGGATACCGGAGGACAAACTGAGCTACGGCATTATCACGGCCATTGGCGAGCACAATGAGGAGAAACTGCAGCGCCTCCTACTGGAACCGATCAGGCGTCGCGGATCCGAGTCAGCAGAGCGTAAAGTGAAAGAGTTCTACAGGTAGGAATGAATGGATTTATAAATTGATAAATAGATACTTTATTGATCCCAGAGTAATTTCAAATTGGATCTGGAAAGGATCTGTTTGCGTACAGAAGGAGAGGATAAATGAGCCTTAATTGTTTTCCAATCTGTCACTGTCTACCACTAAAGGTACTTAAGCTTCTTCTGCTGGTGTCCAGGGCTTCCTGCAGTTTTATCTTTATAGATTGTGTTTGGACACATTATTGTTGAAGAATTGTGGTTGGCCCTTGGTTTGGACCTGACATTTTTTCAGTATTAATAATGCACTATGTAACTTTTCTGGTGGAGTGTATGCCAACTTGTGTCCATGAAAATGTTATAGCTTTTGACTGTTGTGTTCCGCACTGACATTAAGTGAGATCTCAGACACTAGATTAATATCTTTGGATGAGCGACCTCGCTGACACTCACAATTAAGCATGTAACAAAATCAAAATCCCTTGACACAATATTTTCAAGATATGCATCTCACGGTTTGATATTTATTGCGATATTTTGTGGAGGCTTACAGAACTGTGAATATGCTATTTTCTTCTTTTAAATGCCTTGGAAAATCCTCGAAAAGGCTTTGGTGCCGTAATTATATGAAAATTTAAGATTTGAAAGTGCTTAATAAGAGTTATTTCTTCATGTAGTCTGCACTTACAGCCCCAAAGGATCAGGGTCTATGTAGTTCCCTTTGTTTAGTTTTTTTTTAGCTCTTTTTTTTTTTTAGCTCTTATCTGATGTATATAGTGATGGCCTCCGATCTTATTGTGAGACTTTTGATGATACAATATTGCGATATTTTGGTTATTGTCACATCCCTACTCATGATACATGCTTTTGTGGTATCAGCATTTAAAAGGAATTGAATAAATCCAAGCTAGACCTCTTTTTAACGCCATACTGTGGATCATCATCACTTGAACATAATTGTTTACCAGGTTATGAACAAGACCACAATGACGTTTACAAGGAAGTTATAAGACAAAATAATGGCAGGAAGTAGTAAGAATAAAGGCTGTTTTACCATAAAATACCAAATAATAGCTGGGGTGTTTATTTGTTTCAATCACTTAACAGACCAGGCAATTATTTGAGACCAGAAGGTAATTTGGGGCTGGCGATTAATTCCTTCCTCACAAAAATTATACTCAGCCAAACTGGGAAAATATGGAACTCAAATTCTTTTAATCAGTATAACTATAATTTCCAGGTTTTACTATACGTTACACGATGACCTGATGACTACTTTGCCTACGTTGTCTGCATGATTCCCTGCCTTTCCTCGCTCTTTTGCCACAACTTTCCTCTTACGCCACAGCAGCTACGATCACATTGCTGGCTTCCTCTGAATTCCTCTCAATTCCCTCACATCTTCTCTTTGTATCTCTTTGTTCTGTCTGGTACAGGTCCTGTGTGAACATAGAGGAGATTGACAAGCTCGGGTCGGAGCCGATGGTGGAGGTGATTGACAGCTGTGGGGGGTGGGACCAGGTGTCAGTGCACAGCGGCGGGACGGCGGGCTGGATGACCGAGGGCGCCCCCCAGAGGCCGGACATAAACGAGATGCTGTACAGGACGCAGGGGGTCTACAGTACGGCCGTGTTCTTCTCTCTCACTGTCAACGTGGACGACAAGAACTCCTCCAGGAACGCCATCAGGGTCAGGAGACTTTTTCAATAATAGCGCTACATTTTAGTTTCATAGGTTTCAGTGTGGTGCACCTTTGTCATGGCACTTAACTATTCAAAACTACAGCATTTTTGTTTTTCTTTTTAATGTAATGTAGAACTCAAAATAGTCTATAGCACTCTCTGCATTTTAGACATTACTGTGCAACCACTTACTTTTACCTTAAACTATCGTAACTTCCGGACTATTGAGAGCACCTGAATATAAGCTGCAACAACTAAATTTTAACAACATTTTAAAATTGTACATATATCGGCCGCACCTGAATATAAGCCGCAGGTGTCCACGCCTTCAAGAACGTTTTCAACTTCGGGCCATTTGCTTTTCTCGCCTCTGAAAGTTTTTCTCGTCTTTTTGCATTGAGTCAGTTCGTCACGGTGCCGTCGCCGAAATCTCATCATCCACTCACTGATGTCGAGATCACGTGCAGCAGCTCTGTTTCCTTCTTCCACAGTCACATCAATCACTGTTAACTTAAAAGCTGCATCATCTGCATTTCTTCGTGTGTTTTCCATGAGGAGGGTGTGTGTATGAAGCACAAAATAACTGTTCAAAACACAATCAAACGAGCATCTTCCTCGGCGCATCATCTCTCCCTGCACTCTGCTGCGCGTGTCTCCTGTAGAAAGAGCCGCTGTTCTGTCTGTATCATGTCAGTGTCTTGGAGGATTTCAGTAGATTTCAGACTCTCTCGGGGGCGGGGTTAGTTCTATCAATCAGGTATAAGTGGATGTCCGGCTACTGAAGTTTGAGATGTTTCTTCTCGTCATTTACACACACGGGTAAGACGTATCCTACTCACTAATGTTCATTTAGCATCATAACTTATTTTATCACACGGCAATAAACAATTTGAGTGCGCTGACAATATCGGTAGCTAGTGGAGCGACTTTATTTTAACCGTAGATCCATGTGTTACTGCACAGACAGCGGCGTTTTCTGCACTCAGGCTGTGTGTATCTGCTGTGTTTCCAAACCATAGAGCGTATATATGAATGAACAATGTGCCAAACAAAGAATCCGTCCATATATTAACTGCATCTTTGTATAAACCACAGGGTTCAAAGTGTGAGAAAAAAGTAGCGGCTTATAGTCCGGAAATTACGGTATGCACTGTGTGACTTTTTGGTTTGAGTCTGTCACCTGTTTTTTTCTGTAGACATGTCTTTGTTCTGTCTGGAATGTTCCATGACATTAAACAGCTCTACATTATATTTATTCAGTTACAAGTGGTTTTATAGCTCAAAAATATCTAGAAAAACAGACATTCTGACTGTGAGCTGGGTCCCCTGTCCATTCAACTTCATTTCATTTTTTTGTTTGTTTCATTCATGAAAGATGAATACAAAATAATTATGTTCATACATCAGTGTGAATGAAAAGGAGCAGAAAGAAGTATAGACTTGTCATATCTGCTCCTTTTTCACACAAAGTAAAACATTTCTAACACTTCAACAGTTCCAACTACATTTATAAGCAAATTATTTACACGACATACACAATATTAAAGACTTGTTAATGAACACAAAAGGACAGTTCATACTTCATACTTTTGTAGCATATCATGTTTGACGTTTCTTTTAAACACTTAGCTATTAGAATAGATTTTGAAGCTTTGAGTTTTTCATATAGTGTTCCAAAGCTGACACCTGAATTGAAGCACATTTTTCCATTGTTGTTGTTTGATGGACCCTCCGCAGATCTGACCTGTAACTTGGTCTGGTTTGGTCTCCATGAACATAGAAAGGTTTAATACCACACTGTGAAACATTTCAGACAAAGAAATAACATCTCCATGGAGAAAAGCATTTGATGGACCCTTTACCAGAAAAGTTACACAATGCAGCTTTAAGTAAAAAACGTATGAATAAATAATAATTGTAATGAAATAATATTTGCTTCTAAAGGTGGACCAGGAGGGACTGACACTGCCTGAAAGAAGCCTGTATCTGGGACAGGACGAAGACAGCATCAAAGTAAACTCATTTTTACTTTATCACTTCATCTGACCAGTAGTGGATGAATTATTATTTTGTTACTTAAGTAAAAGTACAGATACAGGGGCAAAAGATTAAAACTATTGAAATACCTCTTTAAAAATATGCTTTAAGACAGTATTTTACAGAGATTTTTTGAGCAATTAAAGCATCAAATGTAGTAATGTAGCTGCTTTTGAGTGAATCAACTGATTTGTTAATTTCTCTAGCTGTTTTTGTTTATTTGGTTTGCCCAAAGTTGGGACGTTAACTCAAATTAAATGTGCTGAAAATAAGTCTCAGTCATGTCAGTAGGTCTCAAACTATAAAGAAAAGCACTTTTGAAATACCTGTTTAAAAATGTGCTTTAAGAGTAAAAAGTAACAGTATTTTACAGAGATTTTTTGAGCAATTAAAGCATCAAATGTAATAATGTAGCTGATTTTAAGTGATTCATTTGATTTCTTAATTTCTGTAGATGTTTTTGATTATTTGTTTATTTGGTTTGCTCGAAGTTGGGACGTTAACGCAAATTAAATGTGCTTAAAAATAAGTCTCAGCCATTTCAGCAGGTCTCAAACCATAAAAAAAAGTACTTTTGAGATACCTGTTTAAAAATGTGCTTTAAGAGTAAAAAATAAGCAATTAAAGCATCAAATGTAGTAATATAGCTGATTTTAAGTGAGTCAATTGATTTCTTAATTTTCTCTAGATGTTTTTGTGTTTTTGTTTATTTGGTTTGTTCAAAATTGGGACATTAACGCAAACCACAAAGAAAATCACTTTTTACTTTTCTGTCCTGATCTAAAATGTAGTGGAGTAGAAAGTACAATTACATGCTCTCAAATGCAGTGTTGTAAAAGTAATAAGTATCCACTATTAAATTGAGTAAAGTAAAGTACAGATACCTAAAAATTGTACTTAAGTGTTGTACTTTTACTTTTGTACTTTGTTACCTTCCACAAATGCATATAACACACAAAACAAACTTTGAATTTCCTTCGGGACCATGAAAGTATCTGTCTATTTCTCTATCTGTAAATCTATCCATAACATTTAAACTCCTTCTTGCTCTTCTACACTGACTCCGTGAACACCCTCTGCTGTGGTCTTTGGTCTCACCCTCTTCTTAGTCACATCTCTGAAGCCCCTCCCCCTTCCTGTTACCCCTGTCAATGTGACTGTGTTGTCAGATCTTGGCGGCGTACAAGGCCCTGATGGAGCGGCTGCTGAGCATGCTGGGAGCTCACAACGCCACGCAGAAATCCAAGGAGATCATTCTTCTGGAGACACGCCTCGCCAATGTGAGTGAGAGAGCCATGCTTCTCAAACTGTGGGGCTTCGAAAGTTGGAATCATTTTATTTTTTTATTACTTGGATTTCTTAGGTTTAGTTTACACTGTCATTTTCCTATTTGAATTTGAATGTGTTGTAGTTCTGGCTTATTCCTTATAAGACCATTTTTAACCACGGTGCTACAGACCAGATCTTTGTTAGGTAGTTAAAGGGGACATGAGTAATCCTGCATTTGATACTTGAAAAATTTGCTTTCACCTAGCCCCTATTTCCACCCACTGCTCTGTGCTTACTTGGAATTACTAGTATGAAGCAGCTTTAGATCAATATTGTGATTTGTTAAAGGTGCTATTTTACACAAATTGACTTTTGTGAGCTTTAAGTCATGTTCTAATGTTGTTACCTCGTCAAAAACAGACCTGGAGTTGTGTTTTGTTTCATACACATGATTCATTAACCCTTTATTATCAGTTTGTCTACTACCCTGATTCATTAGCCGGTTTCACTTCGTGGAAACTGTCTCAGCAGCATTAGGATTCGTTGACTCGTCTGTAGGCAGGTACTTTTTAATTTAACCAGTCGCTGCTATTTGGTCATGACGTATGTAATGCGCCACTAACAGGGTTAACTGGTATATTAAGCTTTTCCCAAATCCTGTGGGAAGAAGGGCAATAACGTCTTTCCCCCTGGTAAAATTCAACAAACATTCTCTTTGTTCCGTTGCCAACACAGAATGTATGGCTCTTCGCTGATTGGCTGGTGCCCGGACTCGCACTTCCAGAGTTTTTGCAAACCGTCTAGTGTATTCCAATTCCTGACCTAGTCCCTGGAGAGAAATGAAATTGAGCGCAGCACTAGATGGCACCAACCTGGTTATATGTCTACATCTCCAAAGGTCAAAATGCTCTTGTTCTACCTTGTAATGTTATGAAGCGGTAGTTTTCAAGTATATTTTTTGTTCAGTCAAGATGGGCAATTCCAGGGCTGAAATGATCCAAATGATTCAAGTGAAGGTATATGGAGTTTTAAAGTGGAGCACTTCCTGTACCACATGTATTTCTGTACATTCTGTTCAGATAACTGTACAGAATTCAGTACATTTTCAAAAAGAAAACACTCTGTACCACCATAAGGTAGAACAGAATGCTGAGAGAAGAACTCAGCCTAAATATGCAGGGTTTGTGTGTTAAACATGTGTGAATGAAACAAAACACAACTCCAGGTCTGTTTTTGAAGGCCAGAATAATAATTAATGCTGATTTGAATGTATTTTCCAGATCACCATTTCTGAATATGACGACCAAAGAAAAGACATCAGCACCATGTACAACCGCATCACCCTCCGACAGCTGCAGAAGATCGCTCCCAGTGTAAGGATTTCAAGAGCTCTCATTTCTAACACTTTAAAAAGAACTACACCTTAATTAACCTTAATAAAGCATGAATAAAGAATGAATTCATTATGAGCAAATAGTTCATTAAGGATGATTCAGGCTTAGATTAACTTCTTAAAGGGTCCATATTACGATATTTTCTGATTTATGTTATAATGTTGTTTCCTCATCCAAAACATACCCAAAGTTTTCACATTATCACTATTAATTAACTCTTACTTAAGGGTTTATTAAGACTAATTAAGGTGTGTAGTGTAATATAAAAAAGTTATCCTTTCATTTTATAGTTTATTTGCTTTAATTTGGTTTTGTCGTTTAGTAATGATCACATTACGTTAAAGGTGCATTGTGTAACTTTTCTGATGGAGGGTCCATCAAATGCTCTGTCCTTTGTCTGGAATATTTCACATTATGGTATTAAACCTTTGCATCATCATGGAGACCAAACCAGACCAAGTTACAGGTCAGATCTGTGGAGAGGCGACCCTGCTCACAGTCAGAATGATTGTTTTGTTATGTATATTGGAGCTATAAAATCTGCACCTGTAATTGAATAAATGTAAGTTAGAGCTGTTTAAAGGGCCCATCTCATGCAAAATAACTCTTTTCACATTGTATCTTCTGCACATAAACAAGCACAATTTGGGTTTTGGAACATCCATTACACAATAGTTCTGAAATCTTACTGATTTCTTGGAGACGTCACAGATCAGACTAGACTATTGCTCATCCCCCTGCCCATCCTGAGAAAGCACAAGCCCCGCCCTACAAACGTGACGTAGGCTCTGAGTGAGCCGCCCTTCCTCCGCCCATCTCAGGGAGGGAGGGGGAGACAGGCGTGCGCCCTGATAGTTGTAGGAATAAACTTTTATTCATCATGGCGATACCTGGAATCGGACGAGGACTTGGAGGTGCACGAAGCTCAAGCACCGCTTCGGCATCAGCTGAACATTACTGATTGGTAAAGTATTAATAAACACTAGTAGATAAACTTATTATATCGTGTACACTGGAGGAGGCTGGGCGGAGGCGGTGGAGGGAGGCGGGTGCGAAGTAGAGGTCTGCGCGGGACAGAATTTTCAGTCCCGCTCCCACCCGCATCTGCGATAATTTGTCCCGCACCAGCCCGGCTGGTTAAAATGTTTTTATTAAAATTGTCTAAAATTGTAAAATATCCAGCTCAAATGATGTATGATAGACTTACATTCATCATTTGTATATTTTACTTTACACTCATATTTAGTTTGTGGGACTGCAGTTTATCATCTCACCCGCCGGCTCCCGCGTTTTGTCCAGTCCCACTTCCGCCCGCTCCCGCAATGAACTTTCAAAATGTGTCCCGCACCAGACTGTTTTGTGTCGGGGAGTGCAGAGCTCTAGTGCGAAGCGCCTTCTGCTACGTCAAATGCGTCATAGGTGTAGCTGCCCGCGTCATCGTTGTAGCAGCTTTAGTTCATTATTACGTGGGAGGGTGGCAGAAATACGCTGCAATTTGTTAAAAAAAACACTGAATCAATCTAAAAACAACTTATATACATATACAAGACCCACACATCACTCTTAGAAGGTAGGACGCTCTGAAAAGTTGATTTTGCATGAGATGGGCCCTTTAATGTCATACTGCGGAACATTCCAGGCAAAGCAATGACATATCCATTGAAAAAACAGGTGACGGACCACCATCCAAAAAGTTACATAGTGCAGCTTTAAGGTTAAAATTTTATTTCTAAATATTAAATCAGATTTTTATGAAACTTAGCAGTATTAAATCCATGCACATTCATACATATACCCACACTAAGGCTAAAAGCATGTGTGATGGATTATGACTTGAACTCCAACTGAGCATTTTAAGTAGAGAGCGCCACCCGGGGGACACACTTGCTGTTGTATACACACACACACACACACACACACGCACAGACACACGCACACACACAGTACACACACACACACACACGGGACCAAATGACTCACAAAAGCCGTCCGCCCCACAGCGCAGACAGAGGGAAGCCGCGATGAAATGAAAAAGGTGGGTTTGAGAGAAAGGTAGAAAATGAGGAGACCCCGGGAGGCGTCTGGGGAGAGGGAGAGCGGGGAGAGCGGGGAGAGGAAGAGGAGGTGAAGCCAAAACAGAAGGATGAGGAAGAGGAGGAGGAGGGGGGGAGGAGGAGGGGGATGGAAGTGATGTTTAAAAGCATCAGAAAGAAAGACAACATGAGAGAGAGAGATTAGAGGAACATTTAAGAACAAAAAAATGAAATGCTTTTATGTTTAGAGCATAATTTTATGTTTTTCGTCCTCAACTGAACCACCTACAACAATGGCATCGCGCACTACTTTGATTTGAATGGAAATGTACAGCTTTAGTCTGACAGTGGAAAAGTTTGGAGCTTTCTCAAAACTTGTCTAACTTTTGTCCAGTTAAACAGTTACGTAAAGTTTGCTTCGCTAAAAATAATTTTTCATTGGCAATGTTTGTTTTGAGGCTACTTTTGGAAGGAAATAAAATAATAACATTGATTGAAAAGTACCTGATAAAATGGTTTATGATTAAATTGCCCACGTTAAGCTATTTTCTGATCTGTTATAATGTTTCCTCATCACAAACAGACCTGGAGTTGTTTTGTTTCATTCACACATTTTTAACACACAAACCCTGTATATTTAGGCTGAGCTTTTCTCTCAAACAGAAAACACTATCTTCCACCTTGTGATGTCATGTGGTAATATCGGTAGTGCTCCACTGTGTTTTTAAACTCTATGCCTTTTCATTTGGATCATTTCAGACCTGGAATTGCCAATCTCTACTGAGTTAAAGGTAAAAGGAGCTGTTAACTTGAAAACTACAGCTTCATGACATCACAAGGTGGAGCAGAGCATTTTGAGCTTGGGAGATGTAGACAGACTCATAATAAAGTGTTACTCGAACATGTGTGAATGAAGCAAAACACAACTCCAGGTCTGTTTTTGATGAAGTAACAACATTCTAACGTGGCTTAAAGCTCACAGTCATTTTTGTAAAATAAAGGACCTTTAAATTCACACACAAAATCAGATTATTATAATTTTTTTGGAGTTAGTTGACAGTTGACAGATATGAATATTTTTATTTAATAGTTTCTTTCTGATCATGGTCCCTCTGATCAAATCAGATTTAGCAGTCTGCAGGTCATTTAAATAATTAATTACAGTATTAATAATAATTGAATATGAATAATTGAATCATAATTGAATAATGCATGAATCTTATATATAGCACTTTTCCAAATAAACAAAGTTTAAAATTGTCATGCATTCTTTCAAGGGCTGGGTATCATTAAGAAGTTGCCGATACGATGCGTAGGCCACGACATAATATGTATCTTGGTACAGTTAGCCATTGATTCAATATGATTCGATACAATATATTTCAAATCGATTTGATATGGTTCAATAAAAAACAATGGTTAAATCATGGCTTGGATACTAAAAGTCTTGTACAAAGTAAATCTGACACATTCATTTTAATCAGCAAAACAGTGATTATGTCAAAAGTGTTTCATAAACAGTTTTCTTCCTCTAAACAAGCAACAAAACTGTAGCATTGTAACAAAATAATTTAGTAAAAATACTTTAAAATACTCTTGGTTATATATCAATACTGTATCATCACATTAAACTATATATATATTGATATTTCAATATTTTTACACATCCCTAATTCTTTCAAATGGGTGAGTTGTTTTGCCCAAGGACACATCTCAGGTGAGGTCAGATAGTTGGGGTTGTTTAATGGTGCTTGGGTGTGAAAAAATGATTTGAATGTCAAAGTAAACATGCTGTATGCAAAGTGCTACATGGTTTAAAAAATGATTGATAAACTGACAACAGTGCACTTATTTTAAGCAAAACTCAAACCTAGAACCTTTGTCCTTATTTTCAGTGAACTATTATTCATTTCTCCACATTTCCTGTCTCCATAGTTCCATTGGAAGCGTTTGCTGGATCGGATTTTCCATGATAACTTCTCGGAGGATGAGGAGATCGTGGTCCTGGCCACAGACTACATCCAGAAGGTGTCTGAAATCGTCAACACCACGTCAAAAAGGTAATGCTCATTTAATACTTTCATTTTCAGTTTGGAAACTTGGGTGCAAAGTTGTATAAGGTGTTTGAATAGCTTTGTTGTTTTTATCTTTTTGACAATTTTAGCGCAAACTGTTGGTAAATTTGCAGCTTCCTGGTCAAAAACAAAGTGTGTGCTGCTTCCAAAATCCACTGCAGTTTCAAGTACTATGTGACATCATGCATGACTGCCTGGTTGACCACTCACACTGTTCCTTACACCCCAGACCCCACCCCTTCTCCCCCTCACTGCCCAGTTTCGCGGCTCTGTTTGTTTTGGTTGTCTTTGGGTATTTAGTCCCACTTTAATGACGCACTGTCCATGGTAATTTTCCGTTTATATTTTAAGTCCTCTTGCCTTGAGTTTTTTTTTTTTAATTGGTCCGTTGAGTTACCTTGTGTATGAAATGTGCGGTATAAATAAAAATGCCTTGCCTCGTTTTAATTGGGCAAAATAATTAAATGTAAATCTAATTCAGAATTTACTAGTAGTTGGCCTTGTGTGGGCTCGGGTGTTTTTAAATTCCAACGGTTTGCTATAAGAGGCTGAATACCCTTAATAGTTCTTTTCCCATTCTCAAGCAAAACATTTAAAACCATAATATGAAGTGGAATATTTATTTGTTGTGTCATAGTTATAAATAATTCTGAAAAAAGTGTGCAGTATACTAACTTAATTCATATTTCCATCTACAGAAATAGTTGCACAATATAGATTCCTCTTTTATGTGTTATGTGAGCATGCGTCTCTCTGATTGGTTAATCTGCCTGTCAATCACGCCCTCTGAAATCAGGGAGACAGGATGCAGCTTCAGGTTCACTCATCCTTGTAAAGTTTAGTCAAAGCGTGTGGTTCTGGCTGGACAGGTAAGTTTTTGCTCGCGGAATGAAACTGAGTACATTTACATAGCCAGTGCAAATCAGATTCCTAATCAGATAACCCAATACTTAGATCTGATTTACGTGTGTGCTTGCATGGATGAAAGATGAAAGTTTATCAATGCATTTTTTCAGTAACTGTCGTATTGGGAAGACAGTAACTTTCAATCTTTAAAGGTCCTATATTACACAAACTTGACTCTTGTGAGTTTTTAAGCCATGTAATAATGTTATCTTTTCAAAAACATACCTGGAGTTGTGTTTTGTTTCATTCATATATGTAATAGTAATCTTTTATTATCACTCTGTCTACATCTACATCAAAATACTCCAACTTATGACATTATGAAGCGGTAGTAAATAACTACCGTATTTTTCAGACTATAATGTGCACCGGATTATAAGGCGCATTAAGTGAAACTAACAGACGACACTTGATCCACGATCCATTGGCAGATCGTGTTGTAATTCGCCCGGTGTTGCCTCCCTGTCTTAGTGAAAGTGTATTATGAATGTGAATGTGGGTGGCTCATTTAAGTTTGTTTTTTTTATTTCCTATGAAGAGGACTCAAATATCCATTGAGTAATAATGTGTTTAATGGAGCTTTGTGCACATTTGTTTACGTTTTACAGAAACAAAACTTAAAACCACATGGCTAATTTGCATAAACTATAAGCGCTGATAAAGCAGCTCACTATGTTATTAGGTTCTTTTTACAGACCAAGAGTTTGTTTTCATACCTGACAGTTTCGACTGCTCACTAGCGGTCTTCTTCAGAGTGGTCATGTGATGTTGCTGTGACATGTTGGTTAGCTGAAGAAGAGCGCTAGTTAACAGTCGAAACTGTCAGGTATGAAAACAACCTAATACATAGAACCTAATAACATAAAATATCAGAAGTCCAAATGAATCTCTTTGGGCTTAAACAGCTCACTTCTGATGCACAGATGCAATTAGATTCTGTCAGACTAAAAGACACAACTCAGTGGAATATGTGTGTTCTTTCTGTGACAGAGGATGTGCTGCTGATGTTGAGTCTGTTCTTTGCTTCTTTTGCATTGGAGATGGTTCATGTGAAACTTTTCAGAGATTACTCCGTGAGCCTTCTGACTACAGTAGCCGTAATGCTCTGACAGATTTTGACAGATTTTTGAGCACTGTGTACCACATAAAAATCAGTTTCAAGTCCGTCAGCACAACCAAGATCAATACATAAGGTGCACTGGATTATAAAGTGCACTAACAATTTTTGAGAAAATTATTCTCAAGATTTTAGATTTAGATTAGATTTTAAGTGCACCTTATAGTCCGAGAAATGCAGTGCCTTTTACATTTTGTTAAATAGAGATTAGCAATTCCAGGTCTGAAATTATCCAAATGATTCTAATGAAGGTGTATGGAGCTTTAAAACACAATGGAGCACTTCCTGTATTTAGTGTTTTCAGTTTGACAGAAGAACTCAGCCTAAATATGCAGGGTTTGTGTGTTAAACATGTGTGAATGAAACAAAACACAACTCCAGGTCTGTTTGTGATGAGAAAACAACATTATAACTTGTCAAAACCTGCAGAAGTGTGAATAACCAGAAATCAAAGGTACATGTTTACATTTCTATAATCTGATATCTTCAGAAACCAGATCATATTTGTGGTGTGCATGTGAATAGAGCCACGGTTTCTTATAGTGTTGAAGTATAGAGTGAAGATTGAGAGAGGGGCGTGGCTAAAACCTGTTGTGAGCAGGTGCCACTGTGGTATATGGGAAATCAATGGCACGAGATGCATGTGTTTTTGAGCTAGTCCCTGCTGTGTGAGAATGAGTGGTTTTGTACAGGCTTGGTTCAATCTGGCCTCAGAGTGTGTGTGCGTCTGTGTGTGCGTCTGTGTGTGTGTGGAGCAATGAGATGATTATTATTGATTTTTTTACACAGACCACCTGATATAAAGGCAGACCTCCCTGCATTCTGAAGGACTGGGGGAATTTGTTTAGCTATTCAATTTATTTATTCTGGCTCTATAGAGTGGGCTAAATTAGAATACCATGATATGTGTAATGATTATTGTGTAAAAAAAAAAAATGTACGAATTCACCATGATAACAGTGAAATCTTTAATTCATTTTCATTCACTTTGTCTAAAAGATCATATTGTAGCCATATTGTATTTTGATCTATTATTTTGGACTCTCCATGAGTTTCAGAATGGTGAAAAATGAAGTTGGTTGTCATAACTATTACTAAATTAAAACGAAAAATAGTATTATAAAAAAATATTATATTTTAAAACAACAACAACAAAAAGTTTATAGAAAGGCCAGGGCAGTAGACAGGGAAAAACAAAGGGTTTGTTGTCCCGGGCCCCAGGGTTTAGGGCCCAGAATTTGATCCTATTCCTATTGATTTATATTAGTTTGGGCTCATGTAACACTTCTTGGCCCGAGCCCCCAAATTTCTGTTGACGGGCCTGAGAGAAGGTGTCACAAATACAAAAGCAAATAATTATTATTATTGTCAACTATCAAAAATAATCATATTTTATTTTGATAATGTATTAATTTGATCCTATTGACTATCCATGGGTTCAGAATGATGAAAATTTAAGATGGATGCCATAGCTATTACCAATTTAAAACAAAAAAACAGTATTATAAAACAATATTATATTATAAAATAACAAAAAATATATTGTTAATAACTATGGCCAGAGCAGTAAACAGGAGAAAACAAAGGGTCTGTTGTCTTGGGTCCCAGGGTTTTAGGTCCGAGAATTGGACTCTACTCCTATTGATTTATATTAAAGGGGGCCCATGTAAGGCTTCTTGCCCTGGGACCCCAAATTTCTGTTGACGGGCCTGACAGAGAGTGTCAGAATTTCAAAAGCAACTAATTATGACTAGTCAACTATCCAAAATAATCATATTGTATGTTGATCATGTATTATTTTCGTCATCTGGACTGTCCATGGGTTTCAGAATGATGAAAAATTAGGTTGGTTGCCATAGCTATTACCGATTTAAACCTAAAAAGCAGTATTCTAAAACAATATTGTATAAAAAATGACTATATATATATATATATATATATGTATATTGTTAATAACTATGGTCAGGGCAGTAGCCGAGGGGACAAAGGGGTCTGTTGTTCTGGGTCCCAGGGTTTTAGGGCCTAGAATCGGACCCACTTCCTATTGATTGATTTTATATTAGAGGGGGGCTCATGTAAGGCTTCTTTGCCTGAGCCCCCAAATTTCTGTTGTTGGGCCTGACTGGGTGTCGCAAATACAAAAGCAACTCTTTATGACTAATCAACTATCCAAAATAATAATATTGTATTTTGATAATGTTTTATTTTGAGGTCTAGTTCTTGTTTACTCCTGGTTTGGATCTGGTTTGGTCCTGGTTCAGTCCTGGTTTATATTATAAAATGACAAAAAAGTATATATTAATAGCTATGGCAACCTTACACCATGGTAAATAAGTCTGCTTTACCGGATTAAAAAGTAATTATAATTTGGATGCAAAAAGTATCACTAATAGTAATATCGTCAGGGGAGTCGACGTGGGGGACAAAGGGGTCAGTCTGTTGTCTCGGGACCCAGGCTCTTAGGAACCCCAAATTCTGTCATCTTCCTATTCATTTTTTTCATATTGTAGGGGGCCCATGTGAGTTGTTTTGCCACAGTCCCCCAGATTTCTGCCGACGGGCTTGGTAATAGTAATAATGAGGTACAAAAAGAGCTGACAAAAAGAAAGCATATAATCTTAATCCTTAAACCGTATTATAAAATGATGTTTTTGCACTTTTACTTCAGTCTGTCTCACCTGATATGATGTACTTGCACTTTAAGCACATTTCAAGGGACTACAACATGTAGTAAATAGTAAGTATTTTATTTACTTTTTTAGATGCAGGGTCTGAAATGCTTTTTTACACAAAATGTCAAAATCTTTGCGGTCTCCATGGAGACAAGCAGACAACTCAATAAAACCACTTGTAATTGAATCAGTAAAATATTTTGATCTGTTCATTTTGTATCAGGGTTTCAGCTAACAATTATTTTAATAGTCGACTGGTCAGTGATTATTTGTTCAATTTTTTTTTTTTT